TGTGGAAGACACAGTACTAAAATCGGGAGTACTAATAAATCACATAGAATTTTTAAGATGTGTGTAGGTGATTTGTGGGATTTTTAAATTCCATTTTTCAACAGCACCTGAAATTGAAGTTATGAACAGCACGTAGACAATAGAGAAGAGCCTGTTCGCAGCACAGCTCTCCTCTTGCAAAGCTCAGATGACATCTTCTGGCCAACCTCGGTTCTGCAGGTACGAAATGAAAGTTTTATTCGGTAACGCGCTGAAATTGAGATCCTTTTTAAGGAAAACACCACAGAACTGTGGAACATGAGCATGAGGTGCAAGAGCCACCTCAAAGCAACAAAGGCCATTTCAGAGAGCACGAAGCAAAGCGCTCTGAACAAGAACAGAAAAGAGCATGTCGATGGCTCCACCGGAGCTCAGGAACCCCTGAGCTGACAGCAAGGTGTATGTTTCTAGTGCACTTCATAGCCTGCAGGAAGAACTGTTTCCACAGGCAGCATCTTGGCTGATCAGAGAGAAGTCAGAGACTGAGCTAACCAACCTACTCTAGAACGAGTCCCTATAGTGCTGGCTGCAAGATGTCAGCAGGGAGGAACGAGAAGTACACTTTATGATCCACTGGTCTGCTGCCTAGGGTTCCTTTTAAGCATTGTTTCTTGACCACGTTTTTGCCTTCTGCCTTGTTTCTAATTTTAAAAAGCTCACCAGAAGGCAAGAAACATACTTTTTTGTTTGTTTTTCTATAAGAAAAGAGAACTGCCCGCTTAACTTGGCTTAACCCAAATAGAAACCATAATAATTTTGCTTCCTCTCCACAATTGTTTGGCTCCCAGTCAACTTTCTTTCAAGCTGTTCAAGAGCTTCAGTCGAAGCACTCTGAGTCTCCAACAGCACAGACTCAAAGCAGCCAAATCCAAGTAGATTCCCCACTGCTTGTTAGCGTGGTGCTGTAGTACAGGCCAGGAGGCCATAAAGTCCTTGAGCAGCAATTAACTAATGCAATAAGAAGTAACAGGCTGACAGTTACCTGACTGACAACTGGAGAGACCTGACAGTAGCAGTTTTAGCCAGTTCTTGAGGACAGAGAGAGAGATTTAGTAAAATTCCTTTGTTTTATCTGACAATAACACTTCTTTTAAGGTTAACCTCCCAGAAGAGAGACAAAGAAGGAAAACCTTTTTTTTCCATATCACACCGTGCTTCATAACCCCAAGAGAAACACATTTAGTTCACTACTGAACTATTAAGCCTGTGGTAGCAAAAAGCAGGCACCACCAGTGTGACCAATTGATATGTGACAAAACCACAAGGTGTGCACAGTTTACTTGCAGTTCTCAGTACAGCTGTAGCTCTGAACAGAGAACCTCTGTTCGACTAAAGCAATACCAAAAAATTCAACCTCGGCATTTAGACAAATATATTCTTTCTTGGGGGGAAAAAACACAAACAAATAAAACATACCCCCTCCCCCACCCCAAAGGAAAAGAAAACACACAAAAAAAACCCCACAAAAAATCCCAATAAAACAACCCCCAAAACCACTTGGAATTAATGGAAATAAAGGTAAGCCTCAAAAGCTAAGTACCTGAACACTTGCCTTACTACTGGTCTGTTGTAGTTCAAGGACTCAATTAATGTTGCTATAGATGGTGTATTTGTAGGAGGTTTTGCATTATTAAATCAGTTGCAGCACACACCTGATGTGAACGTTACAGTGATGTCCTACTGCTGATGAACACGTACGTGCATGTGAACACGAACACGTATGTGCATGTGAGCCTATCAAGGTTAAAATACAAAATATGTTTATGTAGATTGTGAGATTAACTAAAGCACAACTTGGATATTTCAGCGAGCGGACTCGTGCTCCCTCTGCTGACTGAATAATTTCGTAATATACTACCAAGATGCCTTTACTTGTACGTATTAACAATGATTTCCATTGTGGGAAAACCACAGACCTACAAACCATAAAGCAAACTTGCCATGCCTCCTCGAACTATTCACTCTTACCTCAGTTCGAACATTTGTGCTCTCCAACCTGGAATCCAGTGTCCTTTAACATGAGCATTCAGCAGAGAGAATGCCAGATTCCAGTACAGCAGCCGAAATATTGTCTTTCATCTGTTTAATAAAGATTAGTTTTAAGTGTGAAATGAATATTTTTACTTAGAAAAACAAAGAAGTTATTAAAAAAACCAACCCAACCCAAAACTCCAAATATAAGCAAGCATCATAATTTAGGAACATGGAATAAGAGTTCTGGAGTAGAAAAAACAAGTGATTAAGTTGTATTTCAAACCAAGATTTAAGTTTTAAGAAGAGAATGGTATTTTTTCTGCTATTTACATCAGTAATTAACCTCAAATGTTTTACTTCAGAGTCATAATGGCCATAATTCCACACCTGAGAAACAGAATTTGTATGACTTTTGGACTACTGCTTCTCTGGATTACTATCAAATAAAGAAAACAAACACCAAGCAGAACTATCTAACCTAAACCAAACAGACTGCTGCAAACACGTGTTCCAATATTTTTCCAATATTGCAGGACTTGGATCTAAACATGCTATCAAATCTTCACATCAATGTGCTTGCAGGAGCAGATTCATGCATTTAGTTCACTCATTTAAATACTACTGATTCTCCAAGTCACAAAGTACTACTTTTATTCATGCCTACTAGCTGCATTTGCAGTTAGGAGATGAAAATGTCTATGATCCAGTTCAAATGAGGAGGATCATTATTTTCCTTATCACAAGTACAGATAAGTTGCTTTCATTGGCCTGCAACAAATTGCAGGGACCATGTAGTTAAATTTATGATTTGCACTTAAAAACAAAATAAAGCATAAACCCCTAACTAGTTTAATGTTATCCTTATCTATAGTAGGATAATTATAGTGTTGCATGTTAAGCTGAGCAAAACTAACACGAAATTAGAAATAGTACTTTTCCTATTTTCAAACGTGTTCCCCAAAATAATCATTATCAAGTTGCAGTTACAACAACCTACAACCAATAACATCCAGGAGTAACACTCTGATAACGTAGTGCAACAAGAACTCTTCCAAAAGACACCCTAGATTTCACCTCTAGGTGGTGGAAAGAACAAAACAGGTTGTTTTATTTCATGCCTCCATTCCAACTGTCTTGATGCATTACTTTCGTAGTTGCATGTTCACATTGAAAGTTTTCTAGATTATCTTCATAAAAAAACCCCTATCATTTTGTATCAGCAACAATGTGTGTTAGCCCCTTTGTTTCTCTAGCTACACTGTTAAGTAGCTTCTCTATTAAGAGGTAGTCTAGAAACGCATTCTTTTACTGCTTGATCTCTGTCAAGCAATGAGGCATGTAACTAATCATGCAAAAGGGTTTGTAAGAGCAAATGGAAACAGCTCACTTAAAGCCACGAGGGTTTTGAAATGCTGCTCTCCCCTCCTCACCCAACTGCCTCGTAGGTAGACCAGACCCCGCCTGAGATGAATACAGGGCCTGACCTTCATTCCTTGCTGCCTGCTGGCAGATGAAACCTCCATTCCCACAGGACCAGCGTCACAGATGAGGGCACACTTTACAATGTAACTGTACTTACTGTACAAGACCCAAGCAACAAGAATTTCAGCAACCTCTATAACATCTTACACGTACCTAAAGTCTTCCAGCTGTCCCTGTCACCAAGATCTGTCAGATTTCTTGAGGCAATCCTGTTTTATTGTTATCAAAGGGAACAGACCTATTCATTTTGTCTGGAAAAAAGGGCTACGTGCCTCCCGGTTGCTGGATGTACTCCAACACATGCTAGCTGAAAAAAACATAAGAGTAAATTAGTTTTCCAGAACAGAGGGGTTTTTAAGGATGTATTCAGCGATAGTAATGGTAGCACTGAATAACAGGTCAATCCTGACTAGTCAAAAAGCATGGCTATTTTTAAAATTTTAGTTTCCTTCTAAATAATCTTTAAAACAGATTATTTAAACGCCTGAAAAAACAGTGAGAATTTTTATCTGGAGGAAAAGTATATAAAAAGCCCCAAATCCACAACTGCTACCTGTTTATGCCCCAAGATAGCATCTACTTAAGATCTTGAGAAAAACGTAAGTACTCAACACCTGCTAAACTGCAGAAGGAAAAGACTTTCATTTTAAGTGAAATTCAGGAGAAAAAAAAAAAAAAAACAAAAAGAAGGCATTTTTCTTTCTGCTGTGCTTGGTAGCAAGAGCAGTGAACAGCCTTGTATTCCCAGCACTCACATTCTTGCTGTATCTATACTTAAATGAATTTTTGAACTTCTGGATCTGTCAAATTTCATTTAAATTACAGTTGACAGATTTGATGCAGAGCACTTCACAGATCAATACTTAAAAAAAGAGCATATTGTTTAAGCAAGTTAAAACACTTAAATGCTTAAGTCTAGAACTGTTGATCCCTAAGCAGGGCATCGTGAGGTCCCTCGTGTGTGTTTGAGCTGTAAGTCATCTCACAAGTCTGCACAGTTAGGAGAATATGCATTCACACTTCAAAATAATTGCTGAAGAAAGTATCATTTTTCTTCCTAGCTTAAAAAAACTAATTAGGACAAAAGGTCGGACAATCCCAGAGCTCTGTGAACTGCCTTCTTTAGTGTTGTCTTCATATATACAAGGCAATTTGTTAAAGTATGAGACACATCAAATAGAGGTTTGATAGTTTATTTATTTAATTCAATACAGTGCTTCAATAGAATGCTACTCATTTTTCACAAAAGCAGAGCCTTTCTTACACTCCATGCAGCTACAAGTGTTATCCATCTCTTAAATTGCACCAGTTTCGGTAAAATTTCTCTCTTTTGTTCATTTGGAAAGTTTTACCAGTGCTTCCCATGGAATCAGAACTGGGTCAGTAATCTTTAGTTCAGTTACATTTCAGTGGACTTTTATAAAACATTTTTCTTCAGTAGATACAGACCTGGAAAGCCAAGGAACTTTCAAGCTTGCTTCTAGGAAGTTATTTTCAAGACTAGTAAGTAACAAAAAGATTTCAGAACTTCCAGACCATAACACTGGTAACAGCTTGACTATCAGAGAAAGACAGAAATGGTTTCAGTATCAAAGCAGTGGTACAGAACAGCAGCAGCACAGGTCTACTTATTGTTTCTGTAGTAATTTTCAATTGTTTCTGAATTAAAATACACCACGGTAACTGTGATATCATCTCTATACATTCTTGCAAGGTCTTCAGGCAGCGTCAGCATTGCAGCAAGTTTCTCTTGGTCCATCTCCCCATACTCATTACTTCCAATCGCATGCCTTATTAAATGAGTAGCTATGTTCTGGTCAAGCGAGGCAATGCCTCTGTTTTTCCTCTGAAGTAACAAACTGTGCATGTAACCCAAATTAACTGGTTTCTCAAAAGCCAGTTGTGGTTTCTGCACATCAAGCTCTGTAAGGTGTCCAGCAACAAGTTTTACAACCTTCTCATTACTTAGCATCTCCCACAGTCCATCTGAAGCAATAACTAGAAACTTATCCTTGCTTCTTAATTTGTGGTATGTGACTTCAGGCTCTGCAGTTAAATAAGGCGGGGTATGGTAGTTTGGGGGAACATACTGGTAAATATTTAAATCCTCAACATCACAGCTACTCTCAAGAACACTATGCTGCAGTTCCTTACTCCACTTTAATTGCACATCTCCAAAAGCTCTGGAGGGCATAAGAATCCCCAATAACCTGTCATTCACAAAGAGGGTTTTCTCCTCAGATCTAGGATGTTCCCTTTTCAGTCTTCTAATTTCAAACTCGTCGAAGGCATTGTGGTCTCGGGTCAGAGGGAGAGTAGACCACGTCCCATCTTCCTCATGAACCCCTAAAATTGCTCTGCAATCACCAGTATTTGCAACATGTAAGTGAACACCATCAATGTGAGCTACGCAGGCTGTTGCACCAGAAAAAGCTACTTGAAGGGCAACATTTCTCATCAACTCATTTTCCTGGGGTGCCTGAACTTCCAGCGATATGTCTGAGTCTAACCTTTTGAATGCACATATCATGGCTTCTTCTAGACTAAATCCTGGCTCAGTGTCTAGGTCCAGTAAATGTTGCCAGTAAACCCGGAGGTTTTCAAAATATTGTGAAGTTATTTCTCGATACTCTACATCATTAGGATGCTTGTGCCACTGCAGAATAGGCAGAACTGGTTTCATGCACTCCACAGCAAGCTCAAGCTCTTCCAAGGTTTGCCGAGACATGAGAGAAACTGCTATGTAGTGAAGGAGCCTGTCACTCACTGCCTGAGCACACGCAGAACCTGCATGACCATCAAAGACCCCAAACATCATCCCTTTGGTCTGCAAACAAGTGGCTGCACTTCTGCGGTCCTCTATAGGGGTGTTGGATGCCAACTGGTTACTTTCAAACCTTAACACAGAATTTGCATTTTTACCATTGAAAGACAGTATTTTATGGGATAATTCCCCTGCTCTGAGTATATCATTGATTTGTGATGGAGACAACTGGAAAGAAAAATGTTCTTCTTCAGTAGAAGTGTGTCGAAATGCCTTTAAGGAAAAAACATTGTCTAAACTGCTGCTACCAGCAGGGTAGAGACGTGTTTTGGAGAAAACAAGCTTCCATTTTATCTTGTTTCTGTTTGAGATACAGATGGAGTACAAACGTCCTTTTCCTTGTAGAACAATGCCATTTCTTGCCGAGCTTAAGATCCAGGATGACACAGTTCTTGACATCATAAGTCACTCCACCAACAGCAGCACTACCCTTCAGTCACACAGAATGTCCTTATGGCCTGGAATATAAGAAAAGGAAAGGCATAAAATTTAGAAGGCTCACAAGAAGCTTTCTACATAGCAATAAAATAACAAGTCTAGTTAACTCATCAGGAAAGCTAACTTCTATCTTCCAGGCATGTTTTTCCTCATTGTGGCAAGGCTAAGAAGAAATTGCAACATTACAAGGAATATAATTGTAAACTGCAAAGGAGAAAAGCATTATCTAACAGCACAAGAACAAAGAGATCCAACAAGTTTGAAAACAGGAACTTCAGTGACAATTAATGCGCAACTTCAAAAAGCCTGCCAGAGCACAACTCTGTTAATACACTCCAGATATCAAAACAAGAGAAAGTCAGCATTTAAGCCCTATGGAGAAACAGAAAGATATGGGCCATTAACGATCTTTATGGATTGCCATGATCCTACATCTAGAACAAGCTTGTCTACCTTTCCAGTTCAGTCCCAGCTTATAAGCTTGCCTGGTTTTCTGTTGTCGGTTTTGTTTTGGGTTTGTTTTGTGGGGTTTTTTTACCTTCAAGGTCATAACCAACCTTGTCACAGGTAGGACTTTTTGTGCAGCTGAAGACAGACTCCACTGCTAGCTAATGCTAGCATTATGTGCTCTGATGCTCTGGTAGTTACAGTACAGTTACATTGACAGCTTTTACAATTCTGCTTGTTCATTATGGGTGTGATTATTACAAGCAGCTGTGAAGAGCTCTGCTGACAACAGCACTTAAACCCAGGGCACCCAAACAGCTGAAATACTTCAGTTGCTGGGGGAGAGGTCCATCATCATAGTGTCTCCTACTTTAAGTAAGGTATTCAAGCTGTGGGAAATGGCTAAGTACAACCAGATGCTTACTCTACAACACAGTTTTGCCCCATGGATTTCAAAAGCTAATTGTATAGTAGCACTGCCAGTACAATTACTCCCAAAAGATCACTGTAGCAGCCAGTTAGAACAATACAGTTTTCTGTAAGCTCTGAACCCCTTCCAGGTGGCCTGCAGCACAGTGTGCTCTAGGACTCCGGCCAAAGGTGCTACCTACCACTCCGATATTAGTTTTTTTAGCAGGGCATTTCATGAGAAACAAGCAGCCAGCCCTGCTGTTGCATTGAAGTGTTTCTAAGAAATCAGCAGGAGCTGAAAAAAAACTTGAACTATTCTAAACAAAAGGCCTACTGATAGGACTAAAGGACTTTACTGCAATTCCATTTGGAAAACAAAAGCAACATGCAACAAAACATTTCTGAAGTGCACCACCCATGCCTCACAGCAGAAAAGACAAGCCATTCCAACAAGGACCCCACCGCTATGATTCTGGGTCCCTATGAGGCCAGGCAAAAAAGCACAGCATAACTTTACTGCTGATGTCAGGAAACAATGACGACTTCAATGTTCTTGACTCAAAAAGCCAACAGAAACAGTGTTTTAAGCAAACTCATCCTGCTCACATCAGCTGACTGACAAGACACTGCAAAATAGTGTTTTTTTTCCTAGAAGCAGAGTTGCCTAATACCCCGGAGGCATATGTTTGCCTAAGGTCAGGTAGCACTGACCTGTCCTGGAGCACATTTCTGAACTCGCTGCCATAACTATGATCTTCACATCCTTGGGTTCCTACCCAAGTGCAGTGTGCAGATCCCACTGCTTCTGCCCAGGACACCCACCCGCATCCGCTAGCCGCTGCCGCACAAGTGCGTTAAAACACAGTACTAGTGCTAATAAAAGCAGTGTGCTAAAGACCATTATGTAAGTGCCCATTACATAAAGCTTATGCTCCCCATGTGGCACACCTACCACTTCCTCATCAGGTGAATTAGTGTAATCACTGAAACCAAAACTGCCACCGCAACACAGCCCGCCTGCTGCTGGTTAATCCGGGTACACACTGGGGGCTCGCAGGAGGGAGGCGTCCACGCTATGCAGCAGAATAACAGATATCCATTACATTTAGCTTTACAGCCCCGCAACGCCTCCCACATACCGCCCTCAACCCCCTGAACTCCCCTCGGTCCCCACGCTGCCCGTGTGGCCCGCACCCCACAACCCCAGCACACGACGTCTGCTACAAGCTCCCCACCGACCCCTCACACC